GTCATCTAGCTCGGGCAGGGTCAAACGACGAGAAGACTCGCAAGGGTAACAAATATCGGCCCTAGAAGGATGCAGGATCACTTCCTTCCTTGCTGGGGCGGAATTGAAAGATTTTTCGGTGGTATACTCTACTTGTTCACCTGTGTCGGTTTGGGGTACGGTCAGTTCACCAGCCAAGGAAAAAGAGACGATACCTACACATTCGATTTCGCCATCCGACCTCAATCTTTATTTTATGCATGCTTAAAGCCCGAAGTTACGTATGAAAAGGAAATTATCTATCAATCTCAGAGATTGAGATGTCTATTTCTCAAAGAACTCTGTCGAATTCCTTCTTTCTTTAAGAGAGGGAAGAAAAAGCTGACTTCCACGGCAGAAAGAGCAGCTTAACTAAGTAAAGGACGTGTGCCTTTCGTCGTCTATAGATATAGATTTGAACAAAAGAAGAGATGGAATTCCAGAGACCTACAATAAGACGAAAATCGAATTCCAAATTCCATTCTCTAAGACGAACTAAAGGGATGTTTCTAAGCAGCCAAGACCCAGAGCAAGCAGGAGTATCTACGATTCGATAAAGAGAATGTGAGTGTCTACCTAAGATAAGCCCATTTTGAATCCATCTTTATATAGCCTTTCCATTGCTAATCCCGTAAGGCAATCCGGGACTTCTGTTACATCTGTTCCAGCCAGGGCAGTTCCATTTTAGTTGCTTTCCCACCAGTTTTCGTAGCTGCAGTGGAAGTCACAGTAAGTAAGCAAGAGGGTGACCAATCCCGCACCATCATGATTGGTGGCGATTCGGATGGCATATGATTAACTAGCGCAGGAGAGAGAGTTGGCCTTGGCTACTTTACTATGACCACGCTATTAAAAGCATTTCTCTCTTATTTTACTAGCTCATCATCCCCTTTCTAAACTCCCCAATGGAAATGTGTTAATGTGTTAGTGGTTGAAGTAACTAGGTATGGCATTTCTACTGGCACTTTGTAACAGGTTCTGTCATCTGATCAATTTAGGTAATATGATGGATCTGTGCATGGTGATCCATGCTGTTAGGCAAACAACTTTTGTAGTAGTTAAACAAACTTTTGTATTTTTGAAGCCTATAAATCAATGAAATGAAGCTCATGATCTGTAGAGCCAATTTACTTCAAGTGACAGATTAGTTTCTGCTATTTTCTGTTCTTCCTCTGCTCTAAATCCTTCAATTGGTATCAGAGCATTCTTTAAAGTCTTAGAGGACCTGTGAGTTCCAAAAAATTGAGTGAAAAGCCATCAAACACTTACCAGCCAGCTTTTGTCAACCTTAAATGGCCTCAAGCAATTGCTCCATACCTCCACCTCCTATTTTTTCTGGTGAGAACTACCAGATATGGGCTGTCAAAATGAAGACTTATTTGAGTGCTTTTGATTTGTGGGAAGTGGTGGAAAATGAGAAGGAACCACCACAACTTCCTGCAAATCTAACAGTAACTCAAATGAAAAATTATAGTGAAGAAAAAACAAAGAGGTACAAGGCTAAAAGCTGTATTGAGTCTTCAGTTTCTGATGACATATTCATTAGAATCATGACTTGTGAAACTGTAAAACAAGCTTGGGATGTGCTCAAGGAAGAGTTTCAAGGCAATGACAAGACAAGACAAATGCAAGTATTGAATCTTAAAAGAGAGTTTGAAGTCTTAAAGATGAATGAGTCTAATAATTTAAAGTAGTACAATGATAGACTCATGAAGATAGTAAACAAGATTAGATTACTTGGTGAGGAGCTGTCAGACAAAAGAATTGTAAAGAAGGTTCTTGTCAGCTTACCAGAGAGGTTTGAGTCAAAAATCTCATCCTTTGAAGACTCCAATGACCTGACCAAGATAACTCCAGCATAATTGTTCAATGCTTTACAAGCTCAAGAGCAAAGAAGGGCTATCAGACAAAAGGATTCAACAGAAGGTGCTTTTACAACCAAAGAGAAAGGCAAGATGCAAACAGAAAGCAAAGACAGAAAATAAAGAGATCAAAGAAACAAAGGTTCTAGAAACAATGAAAAGCACACACCATATGGCATCTGATATCAACATGTTCAAAGAACTAGACAAGACCTGCACCTCTAAAGTCAGAATAGGTAATGATGATTTCATAGAAGTCAAAGGAAAATGAGTAGTGACAGTTGAGACACCAACAGGTACCAAACTCATTTCAAATGTGTTATTTATGCCTAAAATATATCAAAACCTGTTAAGTGTACGACAGTTGCTAGAAAATAACTACTATTTAGTTTTCAAAGACAAGGCATGCATAATTCATGATCCCATTGGCCATGAACTCTTTACTGTTTATATGAAAGGAAAATGTTTTTCCTTGAATTGGCATGAAGCAAACTTTTCTGCATATGCTACTTCACATGATGAATCTTCTTTATGGCATAAAAAGATGGGACATTTCAACTACAGTGCATTGAATTTCATGCATAAAAATAATCTTATATTAAACATGTCTACTGTTGAAGTCAGTGCTGGAGTGTGTGAAGTCTGTCAGTTTAGAAAACAAAGTAAGTTGCCATTTGCAATTAACAAAGCATGGAGGGCAACTGAAAAACTACAACTTGTTCATACTAATGTTTGTGGTCCTATGAGAACCTTGTCCTTGAATGGCAGTAGATATTTCATTGCTTTTATAGATGATTTTATCATAATATGTTGGATTTACTTCATGAAACAAAAATCTAAAGTTGCAAATGTATTTTGGAAGTTCAAGGCTTGGATTGAGAATCAAAGTGGCTGTAAAATCAAGATCATAAGGTCAGACAATGGTACTGAATACACATATGATAGATTTAATGAGTTTTGTGAAGTTGCAGGAATTGAACACCAACTGACAGTAACTTACACTCCACAACAAAATGGAGTCAGTGAAAGGAAAAATAGAACAATCGTGGAGATGGCAAGATGCATGCTGTTTGAGAAGAATCTTTCAAAGAAATTTTAGGCAGAGGCAGTCAATACCTCTGTCTACTTGTTCAACAGGCTGCCCATAAAAGCTTTGAAGGGAAACACTCCTTTCGAAGCCTGGTATGAAAGCAAACCATCAGTGCACCACCTCAGAGTTTTTGGCAGCATCTGTTATGTGTTTGTTCCTGATATCAAAAGGGACAAGCTTGATAAAAAAGTAGAAATATGTATTTTTCTGGGCTATAGCAACATCACCAAAAGCTATAGGACTTACAATCCACTTACAAGTAAAATGATTGTAAGTAGAAATGTGAGATTTAATGAGCAAGCAGCCTAAAATTGAAAAAAGTCAAAGGGAAAATCAGTCAAGCAAACTGCTGCAGACATGATAAGCTTCCAAGATCAAGAAGATTATATGTTTAAAAATGAAATCATTGATCATGAACCAGTGAGAGGAATCAGACCACTCATAGATATTTATCAAAGATCAAATGTTACCATTCTTGAACCTGTAAACTTTGAAGAAGCTATCAAATTTTCAGAGTGGAGAAATGCCATGAAGGAGGAGATTCATATGATTGAGAAAAATCAAACATGGACGTTGGTTGATAGACCAAGCAACAAAAATATCATTGGTGTTAAATGGATTTTCAGAATAAAGTTGAATGCTGATGGTTCTATCAATAAACTTAAAGCTAGATTGGTAGCTAAAAGCTACTCCTAATAGCTTGGTGTTGATTTTTCAGAGACATTTGCTCCAGTTGTAAGGTTGGATACCATAAAGCTGCTATTAGCCTTAGCAACTCAGCAAAGTTGGAAAATATACCAACTTGATGTCAAATCTGCCTTCTTGAATGGTTATCTTGAGAAGGAGATTTACATTGAACAACCTGATGGTTTTGTTGCCAAGAGACATGAAGGTAAAGTCTATCTACTCAAGAAGGCTTTGTATGGATTAAAACAAGTTCCAAGAGTGTGGAATTCCATAATTGATGATCATTTACTGAAGTTAGGATTCAAGAAAAGCCTAAGTGAAGCAACATTGTACATTAAAGTTTTTAACAGTAATGATCTATTGATTGTTTTTTTGTATGTTGATGATCTTTTGGTGACAGGTAGCAAATCAGCTATTGTGGAAGATTTTAAGTTCCAAATGCAGGAAATTTTTGAGATGACAGATATGGGAGAAATGTCTTATTTTCTTGGAATGGAGATTCATCAAGACCAGCAAGGAATCTTCATTTGTCAAAAAAAATATGCAAATGAAATCCTGAATAAGTTTGGGATGGAAAATTACAAACCAGTCAACACTAATTTGGCTCAAAATGAGAGAAGATAGAGCTAACAAAGTTGATGGTTCTATTTATAGAAGCTTGGTTGGTTGCTTATTGTATTTGACAGCAACAAGGCCAGACATCATGTATGCTACAAATTTACTCTCTAGGTTCATGCAAAATCCCAGTGAGTTGCATTTTAAGGTTGCAAAAAGAGTGTTGAGATATGTCAAAAGAACCAATGAACATGGAATTTGGTTCAAGAAGAATGAAAGTTCAAGATTGGTTGGATTCACAGACAGTGACTAGGCTGGCTCTCATGAAGACATGAAAAACACTTCAAGCTATGTGCTTTTCATTGGATTAAATGTGTCAGCTGGAATTCAAAGAAACAAGAAACTGTGGCTCAATCAACAGCAGAAGCAGAGTATATAGCTGCTGCAGCTGCTGTTAATCAAGCAATTTAGCTAAGAAAAATTTTGTTGGATTTGAGTCAAAAGCAAGATGATCCAACAAAAATTTTTTGTGATAATCAATCAGCAGTCAAGAACCCTGTGTTTCATGAAAGAACTAAGCATATTAAGATCAAGGATCACTTTATTAGAGAAGTTGAAGCTGAGAATGAAATGAAACTTGTGCATTGCAAGTTAGAAGATCAAATTGCAGATATTCTGACCAAAGCCTTACCAAAAGCAAGGTTTGAAACATTAAGGAAAAGTCTTGGTGTTTCCAGCAAAAATGCCAAGGAGGAGTGTTAGTGTGTTAGTGGTTGAAGCAACTAGGTATGGCATTTCTACTGGCACTTTGTAATAGATTTTGCCATCTGATCAGTTTAGGTAATATGATGGATCTGTGCATGGTAATCCATGCTGTTAGGCAAACAACTTTTGTAGTAGTTAAACAAACTTTTGTATTTTTGAAGCCTATAAATCAATGAAATGAAGCTCATGATTTGTAGAGCCAATTTACTTCAAGTGACAGATTAGTTTCTGCTGTTTTCTATTCTTTCTATGCTCTAAATCCTTCAAAATGGAATGGAAAGCCTTCTGGAGGGTAGCAGCACATGGGGGGGGGAGTACACAGGCAGGTACGGACCAGAGTCGAAACAAAGACTTGCGGTAAGAAGCAAGGGGCGTAGCGCTTTACTTCACTTCAAGCGAATAGTGCTGCCTCACTTTCTTTAGCTAGGCTGAGAAGCCGATTTCCGGCCATATACTAATACTATTTTTTTTCCTTCTCATCGAAATAAGACCTGAACACCAAAACCAATTCTATTGCCTCTGCTCCTCGATGCGGAATGGAATAAAGGCTGATGCTCTAAGGGATGGATTAACCTGATTGACCTGCCAATTTAGTTTTGAAAGAATAAGGGCTTGTTAGCATAGCATAGGCTGCATGAACTAGCAAGGGCTTTAGGTTTGATTACCCTAACTGCCTTCTCTCCGGAGCCATACTTATCACCTGATTCCTTCCACAAAGCCCTTGTTACTTGTTAAGATCTTAATTCAATTCGTTTGAACTAAGAACCGATTTTTTTTAATAAATAATATTTGAAAGGAGGTCGAATAGCCTGTCTTCAAGAATGGTGTTCGCTACCCTACCCAGATCGGCTTTCTCACATTCATCACGCGTCCATCTGGGTCTGTAACTAGGTTTTCGCGTCGTTAGAGGTGCCCTTTTTTTTACAAAGGTTGTCTTCGCTATCTTTCGTGGCAGGTCAACCTATCGGGTATCATACCTCATGGCCTTTCGTTGCCCTATCTCCTGGTCGTTTGTTTCGTCAGTATGCCATACTTGGTGACGATGTTGTCATCGCCAATGAGAAGGTTGCCTCAGTTTATGAAGACAGCTTCTCAAAATTAGGGGTATCTTTTTCTTATCATAAATCGTTGATCTTTATCTTTAATACAGGCTGTGCTGAGTTTGCTAAGCGCTTTCGTGCCCTTAGTAAATTGACTCACACTAGGTCTAGATCTTTAGATCGATTGTACCTAATCTATAATATGGACCAAGCAACTTATCCCACTAGATCTTTGGCTAGGGCGGGGTCGTCCATTGAACCATATCTTCGGGGGCATCCCCTTATCCTTCTACGTAATAGCAAATTCTAATGAATTGATTCCCGAGGGTTAGTAGGATAAAGGGAAATAGCCCTTTTCTGTTTGGGAAGGGAAAGATATAGCGAGACTCTTTCTACTACGGATCCTTTTAGTCGAGCCAGCCTTAGGCTTCCCTTCCTTAATAAAAAATAAAGAGTAGCTCTCTTTCTCTTAAAGTGTTTCACTACTTCACAAAGTTACTGCGTACCTGAACCTTATATTATAATATAACAGTCTCTCTTTCTTGACTAAGCCCCGCTTGCTTGTTCTTAGAGTTTGATTGCTGCAACGGATTTGAAGCTTACTTCTTTTTTTATCTACTGAACCTGGGAAAGGAGCCTACTTTGATAGTGTAGTCAGGGCCTACTGAATCAACTAAAAGGAAACGCATAGGGAAGCGATAAGCCACTCTTTATTAAGGAGAGCGGAGATAGCGGAACCTATAACCAGTATTTAGGAATGCTTAGCCGAAAGAGTGATATCTCCTGGCTAATTCTTTGATAGAACCTGGGTGGAAGAGTATGGTCCGACAGGAACGTAGTCACTCTTTAGAAGCAAGCGAGAGGGGACCGGGGAGATCGACCAAAGGGCCATAGGAATGAAGTCTGACAGTGCAAGGGTCTTCAACTACATGAGTAGGAGGTTCACTGGTCACTTAAGATATTCTTTCATACCATCCCGCTTGTCTTCTTTTCCTTCCTTGAGTACCGAAGGGGCTGCCTGGAGGCAGGAGTTGAAAGCGAGTTAGCAAGAGCACGAGAGTGAAGAGAGGCATGGGTATGGCTCTCGAACGAGAAGGAGTACGATTGAGAATCGATATACGCTTTCTAATCCATATCAAGTAATAGAGTGTCTTTCTTCTTCTTGTTCTCGATAGGGAATACACGGATATACTAGTCTAGGAGTACGCTTTTATTAGTGTTGACATGCTTTTATGATTGCTTTCCTTATCAGAACTTTCCCTTACTAGAAGGAGTGAGAGAACTATCGGTAGTGAGAGAGCTATGGGTATGGCTCACGAACGAGGACTAGACCTTAATGAATGTCCTTACTCTACTCTCGAGTTACCATATCTAGAGTAGAGGGACTGGAGCTAGACCCTGCTTCCTAGAGTTGCTATAGCTAGAGCGAGTAAGACCGCTTGCTAGCCTTAGACCTCAAGGAGAAAAGGCTGGCATCTTCTAGTAGGAGAATCTTGAGTTGAAGGCCCTAAGACTCTCAAGGAATTGTAGCCGGGTTTGACTAGTCTTTTATGGCCTTTCCTTTCGTTCTTTATCCGCAGTAGAGAGAGATGTGAGCCATGGTAAGATGGCTCACGAACGGAGGAGCGAGTACGAATAAGAGTCTTTCTCATCCTCTTGCTCTTGCCCGCTCCGATTCGATAAACCGATAGTCGAATAAGAGAGCGTAAGCGTGCTAGGGCTTTTCATTCCTATCTATCTTTGGATTCTGCTATGATTTACAAGTGACTTTCTTTCTCTTTTGGTGCTCTCTTTCTGCTCTTTCTGATGCCTGGTCTTGACTTGGTGCTAAGGCTAAGAGTAGTGGTAAAAAAGAAAGCTAAGCAAATCCTATCTTGAAGCAATTGGTTCACCCGAGAGTCAGTCATTTCCATTTCCCTTTGAGTTAACTGCATTCGAAATGCTCTCCGGATCGGATTGAAATAGAGTCGGGTTGAAATAGAGCTGTAAACGACGAGGAAGTAGTTAATTTATGTAAGCTATTCCAGCTGCTGCTTTATCATAAAAGAGGTCCGCCAGTTTACTGGTTAAGCGGGCAAGTTTTCTGGTCGGGGCCCCCGGAGGTAGTCATGTGAGTTTTGCTTTTCTTTCATACACGAAGAAAGTAGGTCCAACAACCATGTATGTCAAATAGGAATGGACTACTCGACCTTTGATCCATCAGTTAGTACACGAGGAGAGCGCAAAGGCAAAATCTTAGGAGTTTCTTTGCAGTGAGTTGGTCTTACAACCCCTATGACTAGAACACAGATAGAAGATGAGAGTATTGAATGTTGATATGTATTGAATGCATCCTTGATTGACTCTCTCTATACTCCTTAAGGGGATGAGAGAGAGAGAGAAGGTTACTTTCAACTACATGTATTGAGTGCATCCCTTTTTAACCCGCGTAAGAAAAAGAAGAATGATTCCCGTTTTGAGATTGAATCTTGAGTCCCGCAGAAGCAATAACTAGACCAAACTTCTTCTCATACTCTCCATGCCAGCAACAATCCTACTTGACATCTCTTGAGACGAAAGCTGAATTGAATCGTAAATAGAGAACTAGCCCCTTCCTTAATGAATGTGGTAGCGCTAGAATGTCTGAGCTGAACGACAGGCACCACACTCCTATTCTAGTGATTCCTGCTTAGCCTAGATAGAAGAACCTTTCGAACTTTCAAAAGCAGACGATGAGTTGTGGGTCCTGTTTTGATCTGTCTTATTTTTGTACTCTCTCAGATCTCCAGTGGTACTAATGGTTCTGCTCCAGCTTCTCTGATGAAGCGATAAATCTATTTATGTTGTTGGTGGAAATGGGACTTCTCTTTCTTGCCTTTGACCGTGCTATAGCCCTTTTTCAATATGGATGCCTACCCTGGCTCGAGATACATTCTTTCGGAGTGAAATTACATGTCATGGCATTGAATCAGCTCATTCAACAAGGGAATGGGTATTTTCACGAAGACGATGTTTTATCTGCGAGTGTAGTTCACTAAATGCTTTAGGTTAGTCCAATTCCCTCCCCCGCCACTGAGGCAGACGATGACGATGCGGTAGTTGATCTAAAGGGATCAATAGCGGATAGGACTCCTCTTGCTGATTCAGTAGTAATTATTTCCCAAGTAGCAAGACTTTATTTAACCCCACCTTTGAGCATTTTCGTTGCCTAGCTCACTTTCCTATCCTAGTATGCCTGATTCTCAACCACCCTTTTGCTCTTTATAAGTCTTCGTTGCTCCTCTTCCTCTCTCAGTCATCATTGATCGTCAGTCCAGGTTTCTACCTCTAGACAGTTCGCTAATTGTAAGCGATACTTTTCAATACAACTTTGACTTTCATCCTCGCTTATCTTTTCTTCATTTTCGATCTAAAGTTCTTCCACATCTCTGCGTGCGTCGCATTCACATTCCATTCCAAAGTGGCTCTGCAGGACTACTGGAACGGCGGCGGGGGACCACAGCTTGCATATAATCAGTGACTGGAGCCTCAACTCTCTCTTCTCTTGATCCCTTCAAAGTCGGATCCACGGGCTGGCTCTATGCTGGAATCAACTTCAGCAATTTCTGCCACTGGAGTAGACTAGAGTCCGGTCCGTCTTCCTCAACATCATCCAGTACTGCTAGCTGCCCCTTTCTCGCATTGGCTGCTTGCTTTGCACGCGTTCCTTCTTGCTGTCTTGCGGCGAACAACTAGGGGAGGTGTCACGGACTAAGTTTTCTCTCAACGAGCACTAGCCCGTGTGACACTTGAATGGACGCTTCCATCCAAGTCAGCCTTTAATAGATCGAGATCTGAACAAATAATCATAAACCATTGTAAGTCTCAAGCATTCACAATAAGGCACAATATATCGAGGTCAATCTCAGCATATACACAACAAGGCACATTCACATCAAGAAAGAAAGAAACACATCGAGGCAACAATCGGGCATTCAATCGGGGTGAATTATATTATAAACGGGAATCATACATCGGGACTTCCCACCATCACCAGGGCCAGGGGGCAGCCCTTGGTGGGTGGCCTAAGCTCGTATAGCACCCGGTGAGACAGCCCAACACTACACTGTCGGCTCACCCCCCTAAAGAGCCTTAGAACTTTTAGAGCTATGCTACCAGTAACCATTACAATGTTTGAAATGGGGACGCTTTTCCTAGCACAAGGGATCTACCCGACCATGGCCCTATACATGGGTGGCTCATGGTAACCTAAGTCCCGGTCATGGCCCTATACAAGGGTGGCTCATGACATCTTCCCCCACCTATTCTATCGACGTCTTCGTCGACTTGCTGGCTTGAAATTCTTCAATCTTCCTTTGAAATCTCTAGAGGTCGTGTTCTCTCTCCCAACTGGTTTCTTCTAGTCCTAAGCCTTCCCACTTCACTAAGTATTCCCGAACTAGTCTTCGAGATATCTTGGTTTCCCTGTCGGCTAAGATCTCTTCGACTCGACACTCTGAGGGTGGCTTCATGGTGATGGCGGCTCTGGTTGGCTCATTTTGGCTAATATCTGTAGGATCTGCGTGGAAAGGCTTCAGGTTGCTTACATGAAATACTGGGTGCACCTTCATCCACTTCGATGGGTCGATTTTGTAAGAAACGTTCCCCACCTTGGAAATGACCCTTACTGGACCTTAATATTTGCGCACCAGTCTACGATCTCTCTTTCTTAAGAACCCGGTTTGTTCTGGAACTAGTTGGACCAGAACCAAATCACCAACTTGGAATTGCTGAGCTCTGCGATTCTTGTCTGCCCATTTTTTCATCCGCTTTGATGCCTTCTCCAGATAAGCTTGTGCAATCTCTGTGTTTTGTTTTCACTCCTTGCTGAAGTTGAAAGCTCTCGGATTCTTTCCTCCATATTGTTCCAAGGAAGTGTGGGGTAGCCTTGGTAGTTGTCCAGTGACCACCTCAAATGGGCTCTTGTTAGTGGAAGAGCTCTTGTTGGAATTGAAGCAGAGTTGAGCAACGTCTAACAATGAAGGCCAGTCCTTTTGGTTGGCTTGGACAAAGTGCCTTAAATATTCCTCCAACAATCCATTGAAATGTTCCGTTTGGTCATCGGTCTGAGGATGGTAGCTCGAAGAGATGCTGAGTTGGGACCCTAAAATCTTGAAAAGTTCTCTTCAAAAGGACCCCGTTAATCTCGGATCTCTATCATTGACGATGTTTTGAGGGAGGCCCCAATATTTGACCACATGTTTGAACAATAGTCGAGCTGTGTCTTCTGCTGTACAATACTTGTGAGCGGGGATGAATGTGGCATACTTGGAGAACCGATCAATTACCACCAAGATAGTTCCAAGATCCCCAAACTTGGGTAGGCTCGAAATGAAATCGAGGGAGATGCTTTCCCACGGTTTGGTAGGTACCGGTAATGGTTCCAGCATGCCCGCAGGTTTTCTCTTTTCGACTTTGTCTTGTTGGCAAATGAGGCAAGTCTTCGTGTAGTCCATCACATCTTGTCGCATGTGGGGCCAATAGTAACTTTGTTTCAGTAACGCTAAAGTGCGTTGCCAGCCTGGGTGTCCCGCCTATGAGGTGTCATGGCATTCCCTCATCAGCATCTGTCTCAACCCTCCTGCTTTCGGCACAAGCACTCGAGGCCCCTTGGTCCATAAGACACCATTTTCTTGCCAGAAGTATTTGGAT